ATGCATTAGGAATGGGGACGGGCAAAAACATGAGAGTGTAGCTGACGCCTCCCGAGTGAAACACAGATTAATACTCGTCTGCATCTCTCATTCTCTCCTTTCACCACCCCCCCAACCCCACCCCAACCCTTCGCCTGATGCGATGACAAGTCATGCTGTAATGAGTTTTGTAAAGATTTTTTCAGATCGATGTCCCAATCAGTCAGCCATCGCCTGTGAACTGTGATTCACATGCTGTTGTCTGCCCCACCAGTCGATAGATAGAGAAACCATTGATTTTCTTTTCCTTTGGCAGGCGAGGGGCCCGCTGGTGGTGCAGGTGGAGGAGGTGGGGGGGTGCGGTGCAGTATCAACATACATACACTGCTGTCAACGGCTGTATCCCCTGGTTGAGGCCCTTTGTCGTCCCTTCCTCTCAGTTAATCAAGTGCTCCCAACAAAGAAACCCCCCACCCCACCCCCCCGCACCCCCCCACCTCCTCCACCTGCACCGACCAGCGGGCCCCTCGCCTGCCAAAGGAAAAGAAAATCAATGGTTCTCTATCTATCGACTGGTGGGGAAACAGCATAATTGAAATCACAGTTCACAGGCGATGGCTGACTTGATTGGACATCGATCTGAAAAAATCTTTACAATAAACTCATTACAGCATGAACTTGTCATCGCATCAGGCGAAGGGTTGGGTGGGTGGGGGGGTGGTGAAAGGAGAGAATGAGAGATGCAGACGAGTATTAATCTGTGTTTCACTCGGGAGGCGTCAGCTACACTCTCATGTGTTTTTTGCCCGTCCCCATTCCTAAATGCATTCATGCACACGCTCATTCTATATTCACGACAGGCGGGGGGGACAAGTGTACTTGTCTCTCGGCCCTTGTAAAATAAAAGGGGTCAGTGTTAACTGATGATTTGGACTTTCTGGTATTGTTAACCAGCTATAGCAGCTCCCACAGTCTCCTCCTCATTGATCAGGCTTATTAACCTTTCCTCATTATTAGAGCACAAACAAAGCCCCACTGAAACCTGAGTCACTTGTTAACAAGCCCAGTTGTATACTCGGTTGCAGTCTACAGCGCAGGGTGCGCTCCAGCTGACATCTACCCCACAATCCATTTCTCAGTGGATTCCCATGAGAGCGCAATGAAATAATCTTACACAGTGTAATAATCCCCAATCTTCACATGATTTCCTGTTAGATTTAAACCTCTTATAAGGAGTCGTTTTGGTATTTTTATGTGCAATCGAGGCTTTAAAAGCCTCCTTTGCGGCCACACAGTGGATGACGCCGCTTCATGGTAGTAGAGGAACCTGGTTGTCTCTTTATTCCTGTTAAAAAAAAAGGAATCTCTTTCAAATGCAAAATGACCCATGAGTGCCGCCAGTACACTAATAGGATCAAAATATTATCTCACTTCTTCCTCCTCTCCAGTACATCTCAGCATCGTGAATATTTTTTTTTCTCATGCAACACATTACAAGACACGACACACAGAAGCAGACACAACAACACCTTTTTTTTTTTTTTTACACGTGGATTTCCATAAGAATTTTCCTGCTCGGCTAATCTCGGGAACCAGTTGATGGATTTACTGAAATGACGACTCATCTGATTGCAGTGTATCGGGTTTTGGTTTGCCTCACCCCGTCTCCACACAAAGGATGACAGCATCGTGAGTGCGGACTGAGAGAAAAGAGAGATGAAGACTCGGTGCTCCTACATATCTGATAGATGTAATCTCACACTTTGTATAATGTGCTGCGTGATGCATCAAACCTGCTTTTGTTAACTATGTAACAAAGACATCTGCTGCACATTAATGGCTAAATCATACTTAGAATGATTATGTTTCGCTTCAACTGGATCGCTACTAGAACAGAATGAAAGGACGTTTTTGTCCCACTTAGGAACAGGAAATTTGTCTTTGTCTGACCAATCAAGACAATAAAACAAAATTAAAAGTTTACACATATGATCAGAAATACATCCAATAATATGTGCAACTTTGATGAAATCTCCCTTTATTGGGACGTTTTTAGTGCTGTACGAAAAATCTGAAGTTCATCGCGAGAGG